AACATACAAAAAGTCAAACAGTTAGAGCGCCGACCCAACAGTCGACGTTTCCAAAAAAATACAGATAACTAAGTGGGCATGGCCGCTTGTCCAAACATTAAAACAAAAATTTGGCACGCAGGCCGGGTAAACGCACGAGGACGCAAGCCCAAAACTTAAACAAACTAGTCTCTAGGAGGAGAAATTATCCTCTCATCAACCACTTGGTTGAAGGTCCCGATCCCTTCGGTCACGAGCTCGACCTCGGAGTTAACAATCTTGAGTTTCTCCACAAGAGTATTAAAGTTGTACCCAAGGGTGTCCATAACGTCCTGCTCGAGATGACAAATCTGGGAAATAAACTCTTTCCTAGTCTGAAAGGCCTTTTCCTCGTCAGCAGATACCACGACCCTCTCCAGCTCTTTTACCCAGAAAATTAGTCTTTCGTTTTCCTTAGTCATTGTATCCATATTCGGCTTTAACTTATTCAACTCCTCGACAAGACCGACTTGGATCTCGTACTTCTTCAGATGTACAAGAAGATCATTCTTCAGCTTTTCATTATGCCCCTCCAGCTTGTTGATTCGGACCTTCCCTTTGTCGAGAGCATCCTGTGAGCACGTCACCACGTCATTTATGGTCAAGGCAGTCTCGAGAACCCTAATTACAGCGGCCACGTCTCGGACATATTTTTCTTGTGGGTCTCCTTGTCCGCAAACAAAATGGTTACCCTCCCCCTTTCATGAAGACCTAAGGAATTGTCCGTGCTAAAAACACCAGAATTAAGATAACAGGGGGGAACACAAAGGTCTTCCTAACAAACTTGCCCTAATCTGTAAAGACCACATGCTCAGGACCTTCCCTGCGCTTCCTTTTTGTGGTTTGTTCAGGGGGAGAGCTGGTCGCCTTGAGGAGAAGAGGAACTGTTGAGAGGCACATCAAGCTTAGCCTATTCCTGGATCTGAATGGACCGTCCTTTGGGAAAAATTTTGACACCCTTAGGCTTCATCTTGAGCATACATTCCTGAAGAGTCAACATCCAACCTACAATCTAAAATGGAAACAATTAGTCTATGAAACAAAAAACATATACCAACTACGAGCACGCTCCCTACCTAGGAGTCATAAATTCCTTGTCAGAAGAGAATTCTAGTAGCGCTTTCGTATTTATCAGTCGGGAAGCTTAGACATGCTCCCCATCATCATCAAAAATGAAGTTGTTGTTCAAGTCCACACATTTGGAAAGGGAGAAACTCCTGACATATGCCACTAGTTTATCATGAGCATGCATGTCTTGGGCGTCCAACTCCTCAGGCTTTACTATATAATGGTCTATCCCCTGCTCGAAGTGTTTCCACTGCCAATCAAGGGGGAATTTCTCCCTTAGCCTTGTCACTGCCCGACCATCTCTAAGCTCGATTGAACGATCATACAAGAAGTCAACAGCCGCCTCAAAAATAGGCTTCACAACGAAATATTTGTCCTTGAAATGCCAGACAAATTCTAGATATGGTTGGAACAGTTTTTTAAAATGTTTGAACGACACCCAGGCCTAAAGGCCTTCAACAGCCTGCCGCTGCAGATGGAAGATTTGAAAGAATAGGGTCAGGGTAGAACAAATCTTAAGATATTGGCAAACGAGCTCAACTGCCCACATAAACGCGAGCGCATTTGGGTGGAGTTGAGAAGGTGCCAAGTCTAACTACTTGAAAACCCCCACCTGGAAATTCGTAAAGGTCAGGCGCATTGGCAAACTCATACATGGGAAAGCGTGTGCCCGGTAAAGCCGAGTAGATCCTCTTGCCCTTGTGCGGCCTGAGAACCGACCAGGAGGCGGAGGCCCCATCTTCCAAGTCCTCAACAATATTGAACACGTCAGAGAAATCATGAACAAATAGATACATCATATTTCTGGGTTCGGGCGCAACCCAATCTAGGTTGTTGCCCGTGCTTACATTTTCCTCACCATTTGAGTCGGGCAAAATAGCTTCTTTGGCTGGGTGAGCTATCTTACCTGAAAAGTAAGGGAAAAAAGTGAATTCGACATCAACAAAATCCACCCTTCCATCGCAAGTCAATTGAAAGGGAGATGAGTGCCTCGAGGGTAGGTCCTCGACTCAAGCCCTTGATGACAAACGCGAAAGGAAGCGACATCCTTGAATAGGGGTAAAATCACACTGATACGTTTCCCCAACGAGGTGACTTACTTAAATCTCTCCAGTTCACAGGGAAGATGAACCTGACATAAACCCAGATGAAGTTCACCCAAAATTCATGAATCTTCATCCGTAACTCATAAACCCATATGAAGCTCATAGATCTTCATCTGAAATTCATGAATCTTCATCCGAAACTCATGAAGTTCATCGGAAAGCTCATTCATCCGCCATGAGATTCGTTTGAAACTTCATATCCACCGGAAATTTCATACATTCAATTTTAAAATCCTAAGTTAAATTAACACACGTTAAGAGAATCACTTACTTGAAAAAATATGAACGATAGAAAATTCTACAGTGTCGGCGACAACGACAGATCAACTAGTGAATGGAGAAAAGACGACGTGAGAGCAAAGTTGAAAATGTCTTACGTGAATTTCGTCACCCCTTTTTATAGCTACTTCCCACCACACGGGGTCACGTGCAAGGGGTCATCATTACTTATACCCCTAGACTGCTCTAGGGAATAATGGCACTTTAAATAGCCGCCACGTGTGACACACGAAGTGATGTGCCGTTTTAACTTCAAAAATCTCACACGTGAAACCACGCGCTGACACCATTTCAAGTCTTCATTGACGAACACAGAATCGACCTCATTATGGCGCCTTTTCTACGGACACATAGAGAATATAAGTCCGGGGAAAACTCTGCGCTGGTTTCGTCTGCAAATGTGAATCCCAAACAAACACCCGCATCAAGACGGACAACTAACAAATCGACCGAGGAAAGTCCCTCAGAATAAATCAGTCGCGGTACGCACATACCTTCGTAGCTGGGCATGAATGCGGGATCATAGAGAGTGGACTAGGAAATCGAAAATCTGGACGAGCACCTCGTCCCCGACCGACACACAATGATTATTCTGATTAGATTTTTGACCTCGAGTGTCGATGGCGATCATGGCGAAAGTTAACAGTCCCTTTGTTAGGCAACCTCTCCCTGACAATTAAGCTAGTCTTAAGTCATCGCTCTTTCGCCTAAGAGCAATAACATGAGGGGATCCTGTTCTTGAATGGACATGCGCATTTCCCGCCGTCGAGCAGGCCCAATCCAACGCCTTTATTATGATCCAATAACATACGACCCAAGTCACCAACCATTGGGAAACTCCTTCACGTGTCCACCAAGGAGACGTGGCCAACGGTTATCTAAATTACCATCATCCTGCCCACCGAGAATAACGGGTCCTTAACTTCCCTACTATCTCAGAGCAGTTGACCAGAGAGGAGGCCACATGTTGACTTTCACTACTCACGTAATCCTGAGAGTCTTTGTTATTGGATCTAACTATCTAACCCAATGTGTAGATCTTGGCCCAGCGTTAGGGGCTATAAATACCCTCTCATACGAGAGGGTCAGGTACATTCATTCATTCACCCTGTTACTCTCTACTTGCATTTTTCTTTGAGCCTCACTTTAACATCGGAGTATCTTGCAGATACCTCCACTTCACCTTCAACCGCCTTTCGGTTCCAATTCGTGGGTCATTGATGATCCATTCTGATCAGGTACGATCATAAACCATAGCTGATTACAATGGTGAAGTCATTAATATACTCATTTAACAATAATTATAATGGTAATTGTTGTGTGTATTCATTAGTATGGGTAATACGTAAGTTACCGGCTGATCCTTTTTCTACGATCCAAGTGTTTATAGGTATTCTGCGTGTAAAATCAATATATTTGGGATTGAATCCAATAACTTCTTATAACTCTTTTCAGCGTTCGTTGGATCACTAATTGCTTTCAAATTTGATCTTCCAATCGATTAAGTATTTTATTGCAGGTTTAATAAATCACTATTACATAAACCATAGTCATATAGAACCCGTTTGTTTTGTTTTTTTTAAAAAATGATTTTATAGTGTTACATAATTTTGTGTAAAAATAATTTATAAAGAAATTTTTCATAAAAGTTTCAATTGAAAAATTTGGTGTGAATAGTTGTTCTTAAAATGTTATTTTAGATATTTCATCTTATTGAAAAAAAATTTGGATATCAAAATTTCAAAAAATCACTTAATTTTTAAGCTATTTCAAATAAATTTTCATAAAAATCATTTTTGAAATATAATTTTAAATTTTTTTTATAAATTTAATTATATATTGATCTTCAATAATATATATTTATGTTATATAATGTCATAATTAATATTTCAATTTAAAATATAAAAAACTTTTAATATTTTAAAAAATGATTTTGGAAAATCTATTTTTAAAATAAAAAAAAATTATTTTTTTAAAGCTGAAACAAGAAAGTCCAATCATTTATTTTAAAAAGATAATGTACTCCATGATTAAGACCTTTGACTACTCTTAATCCAGACAAATGATTATTAGCATTATATCATATTAAGATAAATATTCCTTTTTCTTTAAAAGATAATCCGGATAAATTAAGATCTATTTATCATCAATAATTTTAGTTTTTTTGTATTTACTTAATAATTGAATATCTGATCTTATATATCAATAGTTAAATTAATAGAGAAGATTCATTCTATCTTTGGAAAAAATATTAATTTTATTATTTCAATTTGATATTATTTCGAATTATATTTATGAAGTGTGAATCCGACAATTCACGATAAGAGGTATTTAAATAAAAATATATTTTTCTGTTTTATTTATACTTTTTTTTTTATTGATTTATACACCCGTTTTAATAGTTATAAAATGATCAAATAAATAATTCATTGGGGGTAATAACAAAATTTTAAATTGTTTATATGGTGAATAAATAAACCTGTTGCAAAGTTTACATGGTGAAAACAAAAAATTTAATATGGATCCGTGTTAGTTACAAGATCCTATGGTGGAGCTTTTAGGCCACATAATAAAAGGAGGATACCAAACATAAGAGAATTTAACAGAAGCAAAAGCAGGCAAAGGTTTTCCATTGATGAGAAGACAAACATCATTTGTGACAGAAAGAATTGAAGGGTCAACGGGTTCCAGAGTTTTGAAACCTGTACAGGTCAACGTTAATTGGCTTTGTATGCAGTTACAGTTGTTGGTCACGACCACGTTCCACTCAGCCATGTCGTTTATTTCTCTCCCACTTCTTGTTGTTCCAATAGTTATGTTGTTCAAGGTACAGCCAGAGGAGGATCCTGAAAATCAGAAAATATGAGATGGATCATGAAGAAATTTGTATAGAAGTTTGTGAAAGTTGTAAAAAGATAAATAAAAACAAACTATACCTTTGATAACAAGAGTAAGGAAGATGATAGATATAAGACACCGGATGGTTGTACTAGTAGCCATTATTCTTGAGACTTTTTCAGACTATGTGGTTTTGTTTGTCAAATTTGTTTTTATAATTCCACTTATCACTATTATAAGTAATAATAAAATAATCCTACATTCTAATTACAAAATATTGGTCAATTTTTTTTTTTAATAAGCAACTATTGCATTAATGCGAGTATAAAGTGTAACATCTTAAAATTTTATTTAAAATTTTATTTAATTTTTTATTTATTTATGATTATACCTGGATCAAAAGGATTTTCATGGGTCTGCAACACTTAAATTTATGCGGATGTTGAAGTGAATGGAGGGGTACCTGCAAGACACTTTGATGCTAAAGTGTGGTTCAAAACGAGAGTGCAAATATAGAGTTAGACTGAATAGAATAATGTGTACCTGATCCTCTAGTGAAATAGAGTATTTATAGCCCCCGGTGTGAGGCTAAGGTCTCTATTTGGACCGGATGTCCAGGTCCATAATGGAGACTTCCAGGATTCCACGTGGGTAGAGGAGACCAGTTCGTGGTCTCTATCCTGATTCAATTACCCCATGATTCTCGGAGGATGAAAACTCGTTCTTTTCAGGAGAAGAATGACTCTGATATTCGGAAGATTGTTCACCACGCGGCGGGCACGTGGAGGAGACATCATTGACATACACGTGAAGGAGATGTCCTCGACGTGCACATGAAGGAGACGTCCCGGACGGGCACGTATGAGAGGCGTTCCCTAACGGTCATAGAAATTTGGGCCACTGTAGTGCACCTTCCTCGCAACAGCGTTGGACTGGCCTTGCCCGACGGAGGACCAAGTGCAGTTCAAGTTCATAACAAGTTGTTGGGCCTTTCTTGCTGCATAGTTGGGCTGGTCCTTGTCTGAAGATTGACTCGACACATGCTCAGTCCAAAACAGGAGCCCCCAAGTCGTTGCTCCTAAGTAGAGGAGTTATGACTTTTAGGTCAGCTCGTGTGTTTGACATTCCCCTTGAGCATGGACGATAGGGACGCAAGCACCGTCTTTTAGTTCAACATATGCAAGAAAGAGGGACGTGATCATCCAGATTAATAATATTTTTCATTGATCGGTGTCGTTCAAGGAATTTTACGCGGATAAGGAGGATGTTTTATAAGTATCGTGATCGGGAGTCGAGGTGTGTTCACGGAGAGGGTTCCCATGATCCTCGTAGATGTATTACAGGGTTATGTCCATGAGGGAGAAGGTTTTCTTCGCTCGAATCCCAGGGAGTTGAGAGGTTCGGTCATATCTTGCTTCCTAAGCCACATGTCATAACATTTAATGCGAAATGATGGCCTAGGTGTATAGGTCATCAGGGCCTAGGCCTATGGGCGACTGTGTGTCGGGGTGCTGACATGCCACCCAAAGTAACGTTTTGTCTCCCGTGCAAGGTTTATAAATAGAGCCTAGGGTTTCATTTACAAAGTTTTATATTTTCTCTCCCCTCTCGTTTGCTCTTCCCTTTCGCCTCTCTTCTTCTGATTTTCCCTCAGCCACAACTGTCGTCGTGTCTGCCGTTGCAACCTCTGCATAACCCTTAATCAATTAAGCATTTTTTCTCTCCATGTGATTAACCATGTATTTATTCCTCGCAATACACACGTTTTAGATGAATTTCAGGTTTTGGGGAGGTTCATCCCCATGAAATTCATAGATTAATGATGATCTTCATGTCCTGGGAAGGTTCTTCCCTGTGAAACTCATAGATTCATAATGATCTTCATATTCTGTGAAGGTTCTTCCCCGTGAAACTCATAGATTCATGATGATCTTCATGTCCTGGAAAGGTTCTTCCCTGTGAAATTCATATACTCATGGCATTCCCCGTGAGATTCATGTGTTTCCCCGCAAGATTCATGAGTTTCCCCGCGAGATTCATGTGTTTCCCCGCGAGATTCATGAGTTTCCCCGCGAGATTCATGAATACCTTTATTAGTCGGGAGGGGAGGGGGGGGGGGGGGGGGGGGGGCTTGTCAATCGTGTGGAGTATGTGTCCTTATCTATATAGTTGATTTGGTCGTGCCATTATCCCATAAGGGTTAGTCTTAATTTCTTTTGACCCGTCGAGCAAGGGTTTGAATTTGATCGAGGACTGGGTCCTCGTCCTATAATACGCCCTTTCACTTGACTTGTGGTAGAAGGGTGAATTTTATTTGACCATCAAATTCATTATTTTCCTTTTCTGAGCAACCCTTTCATATAATTGGTTTTGAATGATAGAAAATATATATGTGAAATAATCAATGAATGTTACCTACACGTGTGCATTGTAAAAATATAGTATAACATGTTTAAAATGAGTTAAGAATGTGTTTTACACACAAAACACTGTTATGAGTCGACACAAACAACTTTGCATCAATGCATACTTAAGCAAAGAATCATAAAAACTATTTTGCTTCAGTATGAGTTGACACATCCATTCTATGCATCGACTCATAACATGTTGATTCCCCTGTAATGCAACCTTTAACCTTTATGCATCGATACATAACTTCATGCATCGAAACATAACATGTTGATGCCCCTGGAATGCAACCTTTAACCTTTATACATCGATACATAACTTCATTCATTTACACATGATATGTTGATGTCCCTGGAAAACATTTTTGAACTTTTATGCATCGATACATAACATTATGCATAGACTCATAACACATTTTGTCTTCAAAAATCAAAAGTTCAATCCAGTATGTGTCGACACATACGTGTTATGCATCGACTCATGTAAAATGGTTGGTTATGTAATATGTTGTAATATATGCTTGCATCGACTCATAACAACATGTATCGACTCATCCTGTGTTATATAACTAACATGAGCCGACTCGTGCTAACATGCATCGACTCATAATACGTATTTCTGTCTCTAACCGTTTTCTGTTACATATATAAGTAAGTTTTTTCAGCAGAAAATATTATGACACATAATACAATTGTGAGCATCAATTCTGAGCAGCAAGAAGCCTGAAAGATACTTCATCTTCATCATCTTCTCAATCATCTTCATTCAACAACAATAATGAAAATCAAACATCTTTGTTCAATTGGATCAAGAGATCAAGAGATAACGTTCAACTGTGCATTTAAGGGATCTCATTTGGGTTGAAGATTCTGAAGGCGGCTTCGAGGAAAAACAAGGGGTTTGTCCTTCAAGAACGAGCGTGTTCTTGAGGGTTTGTTAGTCATGATTGCACAAGTCGGATTCAGCCGTAGTGAGGGGTTTGGAAATCAGAGGGATTTTTGCAAACAGGTCGTAGAAGCGGAGGATCGGTTGTGGATCTTGTAAGGAATCTTGATAAGGCTCATATCAAGTGGAGATTCTTACAAGAAGAAGAAAATATTAGGGATTTCTTTCTGTCTGTGTAGTGTAACCTTGTATTCAAACATTCAGCAAAATTGTTATAAGAGTTCTCAATTTCAATTCTGGAATTGAGAGGGAGACGTACCCACACGCGAGGACGACAATGGGGAACTTTCTTACCAAACTGCCTGCATATTGTTCTTTCTTTCTCTCTATCTCTTTACATTTTCCGCAATTTTGTGATTCAATTGGCTTGCTGCATTTTCTGTTTAATGATAAAATAGTGGTTCAAATACTTTCATCAAATCACCATTATTAATCATCAAACAAGCATATGCCAACCGTTTGACAAAATTGCTTGCAAGTTTTAATTTATTGGAAACATTGTTCTAGTGATAAGTGCGTAAAACGTTAAGTAATCTGTGTTTAAATTCATCTACTTCATATTAATAAAATCCAGCAAGTTTATCGCATGTCCAGTTTTCTAGTAGTCGATTCAAAATAGACGGAAGTTGATTAAGGACCTTACGTTTCGGCTGCTTTTAACGAACTTTGATAAAAGATTTTAAATCCTTGAAGAATAAGGAGGTGACCTATTCACCCCCCCTATCTATCACTTGCCACACCGTCTAACAAGTGATATCAGAGCACCGGTTAGCTGGTGCTTTGTGTCTACTAGTAAGGCTATGGCCTTTGAACCAAAGGGGCGTATAATAGAGCTCCTGTTTTCAATGGTGAAAACTATGGGTACTGGAAAGACTGCATGCGAGTGCACATAAATTCCATTGACAGGAATGTATGGACTTCCATTCAGAATGGTCCTTTTCAAATTACCATGAGGAATTATACAGGTGCAATAGTACCTAAACCTGAGGATCAATGGAATGAAATAGATGAAAAGAAGTGGTCGTGCGATTGGAGAGGCAGAAATATGATAATCACAACACTTGGTGTTGATGAGTATTATAGGGTTTTTCATTGCACGCCCACTGAAGAAATGTGGGATGCTTTAGAAATTACCCATGAGGGCACTACTGAAGTTAAACAATCCCATATTAACACACGCAATCAAGAGTTCGAGCTCTTTCGCATAAAACATGGAGAATCTGTCTCCGACATGCAAAAGAGATTCGTTCATCTTGCGAGTCGTTTAAATGCACTTGGAAAACCTGTTTCCAATGAAATTGCTATTAATAAAATTATTAGATGTCTTAGCAGGGAACGGAAACCTAAAGTAACAACTATCAAGTAAGCCAATGACCTCACTACGCTTACCATTACAACTCTGTTTGGCATGCTGGAAGAACATCAACAAGAGTTGGAAAGTCTTAAAAAATATGAAAACATGAGTAAGAAGGAGAAGAATAAAGACAAGGAGGGTGAGAAGAAGTCAATAGCTCTAATGGATTCTAGTTCCAAGTCCTTAAACAAATAGCAAGATGATGATGACTCAACTAGTGATGAAAATTCTGATGATGAAGAAATTGGACTTTTTATTCAGAGATACAATAGGTTTATTCGAAAGAATGGAATCAAGCACCCCGATAAGAATTTCATAAGCTTTCAAAAACAATCCAAAGAGCCAAGGCAAGAAGAGAATAAAAACCAAAGAAGTAAAAGACCTTTCTATAATTGTGGTAAAGTTGGACATTACAAACTGGACTGTCCAAAGATGAAAAAGGACAAAGGAAAAG